CTCTCTCTCTCTCTCTCTCTCTCTCTCTCTCTCTCTCTCTCTCTCTCTCCCTCCCCTCTCCCTCCCCTCTCCCTCTCCCTCCCTCTCTCCCTCCCCTCCCCCCCTTATATGTATATGGCTGCTTTGTCTGCATGTATATCCATACTACCTGTGTGCCTGGTGCCCACAGAACCAGAAGAGGGTATCAGATCCCCTGGGGCTAGAACAGACAGTTGTGAACTGTCATGTGGGTGCTGGGACTTGAACCTGGGTCCTCTGGAAAAGCATCCAGTGCTCTTAACTACTGAGCCATGTGTCAATCCCCCAAGGTCGTTATTCTTGTTTCTGTCTACATATGAGAGCTGTGTGGTTCAGGAGGGTTACATAACTTGCCCAGGGTCCCAAACCTCAGGCTGCAGCACTTGGCCACCAATGCCTTCCTAGGCTGTAGATACGGTTGCTCCGCTGGCCCCTGCCGAGGCTGGCATCACGTGCTTTGATTTCAGTACTGGATGAGGAGGAAAAGGAGTCTATATCCACCCTGGAGACCCAGAAGCAGCTCAGTCAAGCTTGATTCTTTAATACCCGCCCTCCGGACAGCACTTTACAGTTTGCAGAACCATTTCTCCACGGCTCCATGCCACAGGTGTGAGTCCTGAAGCAAGAGCGAGTGATGCCTGCAGGATCCCAGGGGCGGGACAGCAGCGTTAGCCGGCAGCCCTCTGCAGCTGCTTCAGAGCAGCCTGAGAGAAACTGACTCGACTTTGCTAGTTATTTGTGCGTGCGTGCGTGCGTGCGTGCGTGCGTGTGTGTGTGTGTGTGTGTGTGTGTGTGTTCCTATTCAAAGAGCAGAATAATTTTTATAATAAAAAATGTATTAATGATTAAAATGTCAAAATTCTCTGTGCATAACCAAAGTATTGGTGTCTAGGTTGACACTGGTCCTCCCAGGAGCTGGGGTGTGACTCCTGCCTGCCGGCTGTGGACTTCCTACAAGCACCTCCCTACAGAGAGGGCGGAAAGTGAGGAAAGCGTTAAGTTCACAGGAGAAACTGGACGGTACCTCAGCCAACTGATCGGCACCAACAAGGGACACGTCAGCTGATGAGAACTTGACCTCTCTACGTGATCTTCCTCCTGAAAACCCCAAACCCAGAGCTCCAGGCTAGACCTAAGAAAAACATCAGCCTTGGGCTATAGAGCAAAATGGGAGCGGAGAAGAGGAGAGGAGGGGAGGGGAGGAAGAGGACAGGAGAGGGGAGGGGAGGAAGAGGACAGGAGAGGGGAAAGGAGAAGGGTAGGAGGGAGGGGAGAGGAGGGGAGGGGAGGAAGAGGACAGGAGAGGGGAAGGAGGGAGGGGAGGGGAGGGGAGGAAGAGGACAGGAGAGGGGAAGGAGAGAAGGGAAGGAGGGAGGGGAGAGGAGGGGAGGGGAGGAAGAGGATTACTGCTATCGATACTCAAAGCTGTCCGATGGTCAACAACAAGGAATGTCTTGTAGGATCCCAAGGGACCCTGTGGCGGAGAGGAAACTGGGTGAAAAGTAAGGAAGAGGGAATCAGGTGTGGACTTGAGTTAATCACAATGGTGAGCTCACTCACTGCAACACACAAATAGCAGAGAAATCTGAGGGGTCTCTGCACTACTGTCCTAACTTTTCTGTAAATCTAAAAGTGCAGGGTCTTTTTGTTTTTGTTTTTAATGAGGCAGGGCCTGGAACTCATCATGTAGACCAGGCAGGCTTCAAACTCCAAGATCTGCCTGCCTCTGCTGGGACTAGTCATGTGCCACCATGCCCAGCCATAATGCAAAGCTTTTGTTATTTGACTTAATCAAAAGATAGTGAAACATTTGCCTGGCTGCTGCTCCCTGGTCAGCATGTGAGCCCTTTTCTAGAGAAAATACCTGCTTCCTTGTTGGGATGCTCCAGAGGAGACAGTATGAGCCAGTGCCCTGCTGTAGAGGCCATGGCCAGCGGGCTCTGCCAGTTTCTAACTGTGGAGCCCAGGCAGTCTGTAAATTCTGAGCCAGGTGTCCTTAAACTTGGAGTTTGCAGGATCATTGAGAAGGTCAAATGTATGCATGTATACAGTAGGCACCTTACCTATGCATTATGTATGCAGTAGGCATTGTACGTGCAGTTGCTGTAGTTATCAGGAGCATACAAGTGCACTTCTGCAGGAAATGTGTTGGAGAAACCCCCCAAACTTGCAAACAAAGCCCCACAAAGTTACCAAGTGTCCCTTCAAAGATATTTCAGATCATTGGCTAAGAACCCCACCTATGGGTCACCTAGGAGGTAACTTCTCTTGACATACTTATTATGGCTGTTTTTCCTCCCCCACCCTCCCTCCCTCCCTCCCTCCCTCCCTCCCTCCCTCCCT